GGTTCGATTTGATGGTAAATCTGAAAAAGCTATCATTCCATTATCACCTCCTATTACAATGTTAAATAAAAGAGATATTACAACACCTGAAGAATATTTTAAATTAATTGATGAAATGAATACAATGCAATTATTATTTGATGAATGGAGTAGTCCAGTTGTACCAATAGAAAAATGGGAAATGAAATATCCTAATGGATGGGAACAACAAAGTCTTATTTTTGCTAAAACAATTGAAGATGGTTATTGTATTGAAATAGGTAAAGGAGCATGTACACAAAATACAGACCTTAAAGAATATCATATAGTTGATATTACATCTGATTTCCAATTCTTTGAAAGATATATTAGTGGAAATCCTGCTGCTGAACATTATATATTAACTGAAGAACCTACTGCAATGAGTATTATACCAGGAAATAATGGAGGATTTAGAAGAGCAATTGTAATGAGTAAGAAAGGTAATATACGATGTTTAATACCAAATGAATTGATTAGAATAAAAGAATTTCAACCAGCATTTCCAGATTTAACACGAGGAGAATTTTATAAAGTCACTGATAAAATGAAATTTGAGAACGAGATTGTTAGGTTTGAACGAATGTCAGCTATCACACATTATAAATTCGGAGTATTATATTGTAAAGCACATCAAACAGATGAAGATGAAATGTTTGGAAATACAGATGGTTGTCCTGCTTTTTATAAATTCTTAGATTTACTTGGAACAAAAATTGAATTACAAGGATTTGATAAATACCGAGGAGGTTTAGATGTCAAAAGTGGATCAACAGGAACTTGGAGTTACTTTACACAACATTTATGTTATGAAATTATGTTTCATGTATCTACTTTATTACCAGAACAACCTGGAGATCTTCAACGTGTAGAAAAGAAAAGACATATTGGAAATGATGTTGTTGTTATTGTATTTAAAGAACAAAGTAATGATTGGAAAGACCAATTTGATCCTAAATGGCTAACTTCACAATTTAATCATATATTTATTATTGTACAACCAGATATTAATACAGAAAATAACAATGGTTATTCTATTACAGTTGGATGTAAAGACTCTGTTAATCCATTCCCTCCTTTTATGAAAACAAACCATTTTAATCACGAACCATCTACTAGAGAATTCATATTAACAAAAGCTGTTAACGGTGAGAGAATGGCAATGTTTTCTACAGCCTTTAAAGGAAATGCAATTAAAACTAGAAGAGAGCATTTGCGAATGCTTTTTTCTCAATTAAAATAAATTCATTCGTATGTATTTCATTTATATTATATTTTATTAGAAATTAAACTATAAAATTATTATATTATTTCTTTTTTGATTATTAATAAAAAATAATAATAAAACTTTAAATAAAAATAATCTTCACAAAATAATAAACATCATAAAAATTTTGAAAAAAAAGTTAAAAAAAATGAATTATTTTAAAACTCAAAAATAAGAAATCATATTTTAGCAAAAATGATTGTTACAATGAACGAAGAAACAAAAGAAATTTTATCAAAATTACCTATCTCTTCATACCGTAAGAAAATAATTGATCAAGTAGAATGTCTCGAAAAGACACAATCTTTACAAATTATTTTATCTGAGATTCAAGATAATTCACAATTATTTGATGTTGTTGATCCAATTGTTTTATCATTAATGTATGATTATGGACTCAATCGAACAAAACTTCAAGAAAGATTTTTTGATGATGATAATTTTTTAAAGAAAAATGGATATTCACAAAAGGTCAGAGAATGGTTTGCTCCTAAAGAACAATGTTTTCCAAGTGATTATTTATCTCTTAAATTTGTTCAGTACTGTGGTTATTCATTTGAAGAAGAAAGTATTTTAAATTTAATGGGAAGAAATTTTAATAGAGTTATTTCTATTGGAGCTTTAAAATTAAATAATGGAATTATTAGTGATGCACTAGAACGCCTTAACAAAAATTTTGTTGGAGTTATTGAACATTTAAGAAATGATTTATTAATATTTAGAGGTAAAATTCTTCCACCAAGAACTACTCTTATGGAAGCACCAATATTAAGTATTTCTCCAAATTTCTATTACGATTTGGCTATAAGAGTTTTAAGTGAAAAAGATATAATTGAAGCAATAAAAAACCCAATAAAACTTCCTAATGACTTAAAAATATGGTTTAAAGAGTTAGAGAAAAAATGGAAAATATTTCAAGGAGAAAGAGAAAAGAAAATTGAAGAAGAAGAAAAAGTTGAGACGTGTGAAGTTTGTTATGAAGATAAATTACCTGAAGAAATGATTATTAATAGATGTGGACATTCATTTTGTAAAGAATGTGTTATTGAACATATATTAACATGTATGAAAGAAAATGGTAAAGGAATAGGAAATTTAAAATGTTTAAATTCAGGGTGTAAGTGTTGTATTACTATTGATATTGTAAGGTCATTAGTTGATGATTATACTTTCTACAAATATTGTGAATTACTTATTAGTAGTTTTATAGAAAGAGATAAAGAGATAATATGTAAATATTGTTCAAATGAAAAATGTGGAAAATTATTACATTACAAAAGAGAATATTTTGGTGGAGCTGTAACTGCTATTTGTTCATGTCAAAATAATATGTGTCTTCTTTGTGGGTCTGCTAATCATAGACCAGCTACATGTAAAATGTGGAAAAATTGGCAAGAGTTAATGCAAAGAGATGGACTAAATCTAAAATGGATTCGAGAAAACTCTAGACCGTGTCCATCATGTAAAACGTTTATTGAAAAAAATGGAGGATGTCAATGGATGTCATGTTATAAATGTCATTGTTTTTTTTGTTGGATATGTATGCAAATTACTAATGACCACCAACATAAAATAGGACAAGAATGTGTAACATATGTACCAATTAAACATGAGAATAATTATATTAGCGAAGAGACATTAAATTATATTACTCATTATGATCTTCAAAATGTTGGAATAAAAGAAGCAGTAGAAAGAAACAAATTAATCATTCAAATTATTAATAAGAGAAAAAATATTGCATCTACATTAGCACCATTATATGAAGCTTCATTAGTAGAAATTGATGCACACACAATACTAAGAAACCTTTTTGTTTATGGTCATAGTAAAAAAGAGAAAAAAGAATTAATTGAATTTCAACAAAAGAAATTTCAATTACAAGCTGAATTATTAACAAAAAGAATTCAATTTTTGTTAAAAATAGAAGGGATCAACTTACAAATGATGAGCGATTTAGTTCAATTTGTAAAACCAATCAAAGAATCATTTGATAAAATAGTTCTTTCTATTGAAGAAGAACTTGAAGAAGAATAATTACTAAAGTATTTTCATTTTTTATTAATTTTTATATAAACTAAATTTATAAATTTTTTGTCGACTAGAGATAGATTTCATTCATTTGATAAATAAGGCAATTTAATGATTATTTAATTGAATAGTATTGTGTTATTCAATTTTTAAGAGAATTCTAAAAATATAACAATAAAAAAAAAAGTAAAAATACAACTATAAAAAAACTATAATAAATAGAAAAAAAAATTAAAAAAAGATAAAATAAAAAGAGACAATTAAAAATAGAAGATAAAGAAATTCTTTTTTTATTTTGATAAAAAAAGAAGAACGAAGAAGAGAAAAAACTGAAAAAAAGTGAAGGGTTTAGAAAAAAACAAAACTAAAAGAACTTAATAAAAAGAATCAAAAGAGAAATGACTGAAAAAACATATCAAGTTGTTGTTATTGGAGAAGGAAGTGTTGGTAAATCAGCACTTTGTTTATTGTTTGTTAAAGGAGAATTTAATATTGAATATAATCCAACAATCGAAGACTCTTATTCAATTGATGTTAAAGTTGGAGACCAAACGGTAAAAATGTCAATCATTGATACAGCTGGTCAAGAAGAATATATTTCATTAAGAGAACAATATTATATTAAAGGAGATGGATTTGTCTTAGTTTATAGTATTGATAATAAAAATAGTTTCCATGCTCTTAAGAATCATCGTGATAGTATTCTTGGTTTAAGAACTGGTCGTAAAACAATTATGGTTATGGCAGGAAATAAATGTGATTTAGAAGAACAAAGACAAATTCCAAATGAAGAAGCAAAGAAATTGGCTGAAGAATGGAAAATTCCATTCTTTGAAACCTCAGCTCAAAATAATATTAACGTAACTGAACTCTTTAATTCTATCGCTAGTGAACTCCTTAAAAGTTCTCAAGAAGAAACCGCTGCTACACCTTCAACAGCTGCTCCATCTCAAACACAACAAGAATCACAAAGTAATAGCGAAGATAACAAAAAATCAAAGAAAGAGAAGAAGAAAGGAAAATGTATTCTTTTCTAAATAAATCAATGTTTTGATCAATTTGGTTGTTGTTATGGTTTTGTGTTCATTATTTTTTTTATTTCATTTATATTAATTTTTTTATTTAAATTCTTTCTCAATTACTTCATTTTTAATTATTTCATAGTTTTTTTATAATTTTTGTTTAGGTTCTTATAATACGGTGAACTGATAATTGTTATTCATGGCTGTTCAACAGTCTTTGAAACTTATTGTCCAAAATATACCTACTTCTAATGGAAGGACAATTGCAGATAAACTTTATGAAGAGTTTTCAAATTCTATTGATTATTATAATTTTATTGCACCTGAGTTTGTTTAGAGTTCATTAAAACAAAATATAAAATAATGAATTTATTATATAGAAATTCAATCTTTTGTTCTGCAGTATTTCATTTCATAGATCAAGACTCTTTTGATAAGTTTTGTAGAAAGTATACCCAACACACTTATTACTTACCTAACGGTCAACAAAAAGAACTTGACATTAAACGCTGTATTAACTCTAAACTTCCTACAGATGATATTTCTGATGAATTAAATGGTACTTTAGAAGATGACCCAATCTACCAACAATTTGCTGACTCTTTATTAAAACGTAATAGATAAACCATACTATTTTCTTCTTTACCTCTAATGACATTGTTTGGATACATTATTACTCTCAAACAATAGTTACTATTTTGATAAATATCAATTTATCGTTTATTTAATTAAATAACTAATTGAAATTGATTTTTTGAAGTATTTTTTGGGGTCTTCTTTTAGTTCATGAAGAATTCAATTAAAATGATTCGTCATCATATTCAGAACTCCACCACATCACTATAAGTCCTATAAGAATCATTGTTACTGTAAGTAATACCATAGAAACAAATGGATGTTCTGAAACAAGTATTGAAAGAAGTGTTTGTTTATTATTGTCTACTTGGTTATGTATTTTATTCTTCTTATAATTCTTTTTATAATTTTTTTTTCTTTGAGATTGAGTATTATTTGTTTTTAATCCTTCTGTGATTATAACATCGTCTTGTTGTAAATTATTTTCTTGTGAATCTTCAATACTAGGGACTTTGTTTGGTTGATTAATTTTTGGAGTTATTTCGTTGAAAGAATCTTTTCTATTTATTTTATGATATGTTCCAACTTTATCTGCTGTAGTACTTTTAATTCTTTTCTTTTTACTTTCTTTTTCAGATAAAAGAGGTGTTATGGTTTTTATGGTTTCTTCTTTTTTGACTTCTTTTGGTTTAATTGATTCAACACTTAGCTTTTTGTGGTGTTGTTCTTTTTTCTTTTCATTGTTTCCTTCTCTTTTTTTCTCTATTTTGATATGACCATTATTATCTGTTTTTATAATTTCTCTTTGTTTATTTTCTTTGTCTTGAATAAAAGAAGTGCTATCAGATTGTAATGAATTTGATTTAGTTATATGATGTTCTTGTTTTGTATGGTTTTCTTCTTTAATTTCATTATTAGTATTATTTATATTATTGTTATCTATTTTATTATTAATTTGGTAAGGTTCTTCACTTTCTTCAATAGAAGTTGTGTCAGTTTGTTCATTTGTTATTTCAGATAAATCTGATGTTCCAATAATTTCAGATGCATAACCCAATTCACTCGTATTTTCTTCACTTTTATCTTCTTTATTTATGGTGTTTTCTATTCTTTTTCTTTTTGGAATAAATGGTGTGGCATTGATTTTGAATGGTAAAGCATTTGGTAATGAAGTCCTTCTTTTTTTCTTTTGTTCTTCATTTTTTTTAATCACTGTAAGTTGAGTGCCTTCTTTCACCCCAATTTCTTTATGTTTAGTTTTTTGACTAATAATCCCACTACACTTTAGAAGATGAACTAATGACCCTATCTTATTTTTAAAGTCATGTTCATTTCCTTTGTTGTCCATTTGCATTTGGTTCCATTGATCTCCCCATCCACCATTTAAATCTAATTTTAATATTTCTGATAATGATATTGGTTGAATACTTTCTTTTAATGAATTTAATGGTGTAAGTAATTCTTCTGTTGATGGTTTAAAGAATAATGTTGAATGAGAATAATAATGAGCTGTTTGTTTACTACCACTTTTTAATATAAGAAGATTAAATTCATTTAATACATCTGCTTGTTCTTCTCCTTCAAGATAAGATACCCATAAACTCATTTTGTATTTATTTTCTTGTTGCATTAAACTAATTCCTTGC